CACAGCTGTGAGGGGCTGGCCCTCCGGGAGTCATGTGATCCAATTAGCCAGCCAGTGTTCCTATGGACGAGGGCAGCTATTGGGGAGCAGTGGGACTGGGTCCTAGAGAAATGGACCCACCTTTCTGGAAGCCTCTAGTACCTGACCAAAGCACCTGAGCCCTGGCAGGGCCTGGTCAAGTCATTCTGAGAAGTACTGTCCAGGTGGGCTTCAGATCTACCTTCCAAATCCAGAATGTGCCTTTGCAAAATTCTCTCCAAGTGACTTCACTTGGCTAGCTCCTTGGCCCTGTAGGACAGGGGGAAGTATGTCCTCCCATGTTGGTCTCCTTGAGCCTCAGGGCCAGGAAGGGCTGGCTCTCAGCTCTGCCTCACCCCACCCCATCTCCATCCCTCCTTCACCACCAGGGGCCCAGCAAGAGTGAGAGGCAGTCTGAGTCTCTGTCACTGTCCTTCTGTTTGCTTCAACACCACCATGTTCCTTTCCCCGCTGCTGGGCAGTGTGGCCACCTCTCTGAGCTTCCGCTCCTTCACCTTTGAGATCAGACATGCTTCCTTCACCTCCGCCCAGAAAGTCACTGAGCCCTGCCATCGCTACCTGACCTGAGTCGCCGCTAACTCACCAATGACAGTTGCTCTAGTCCAGATCCCTCACTCTCTGGGATACCATGGAATCCTGAACTGGTTGACCAGAGTCTCCCAGTCCTGAGATTCTGATTAGGGCTGAGTCACGGGCTTTCGCCACTCTGGCTTTAGTGCCCACCCTCAGTAACCATCTATCCGTCCATTCGTCCATCCATCCATCCGTCCGTCCAGTGAGCATTGCTGAGTGCTTGCTGGGTAGCAAGTCCAGGGATCCATACCTAAAAGGTGTCCTGGCTGGTGGGAGATGAATGCAAAACCACACCAGTGGTGTGGGGTTGGTGCAGGGACAGACAGCCTGAAGTGAGAGTGAGCAGCTCTCTTGAAGGAAATCAAGGAAGAGGGTGGCAGTTGGGCTGCGTCTTGATGAGTGAATGAGCAGGGCACCTGGGCTGAGTGGCGGTCAGAGGTGAAGATTTGGGTCCAGAAGGCAGGGGGCTTGGAACATGTGGCTAGAAATGGTGGGAGGCTGGAAGCAGGCACACACAGTGTATCTGCTGAGCCCAGGGCACTGGACATCTGTCCATCCAGGACTCTGGGCTGGCAAGGGGTCTGACCAGGGTGTGTCCCTGGACCCCAGCTTTCTCTCCAGACCAAGCGATGGGCAGGCGCCAAGCCCATGGGTCCTGGCGGTGTTTCTGAGCGCCACCCCTGCTCAGCAGGCTGTACGTGCAGGCCGCATCCCTGCTGCCAGCACTGCTCACCCCAGGGGACCCCAGATGCAGATGTGTGGTGATTGAATCATTTCTGCACACAACTGCTCACACAGCTCCCCCAGGGACCCCGCCACTTGCCTGCGCAAGCTGTCGTGAGGTGGGTGTGCGCCGGTGCGTCTGCACCCGCGTCCCGGTGTGTGTGTTGTGTGCGAACGAGTGTGTATGTTTGTGAACGCGCACACACATGCCATGTGCAAACGCCTTACCTGGTGGTTTGGCCTCAGAGTGACAAGTAAAACCCACAGTTAGCAGGGCTGATGCTGCACCAGGCGGCCAGGAGTCCCCATCCCCACACCCCGCATCCCAGGGCACCCACCAGAACATCAGATACGCTCTCTCCTGGAGGCCTGGTCAGTCTGGAGACCATCCAGGGTCCTGCTTATATTGGGTTCACCTCATCTTTGGCATCCTCTGAGGCTTGGGCAAGTCTGTCTCCTCTCTGGGTCTCTGCTTCCCATACAGCCGTGTAATACCAGGTGGTCTTCAGGGGCCCTTTCGACTCCCAGAGTTCTCATATCTGAGCAGCTCTGTGTGCATAACAGGAGCTAAGTTGTCTTGAGCTCATCTTCAGAGCTCAGCACTGCTGGGGGCGTGGAGGTCTGAGAGTGGGAAGCTGAGCCATCTAAGCTCATCTGGAGGTCAAGAAGACTAGGTGTCAGCATCCGAGAACTCACATGCACAGAAGTTAAACGAACAGAGCTAAGGCACAAGCAAGACTGTGGCGGGGACAGACTGGACTGCCTTGGAAGAACAGCTTTCCCTCAGGCTCCGCTGGCCTGCTGTTTTAAAACCAAGGTTTTACACTTGTCTGATGGCGTTTTCCAAACAGCTGGAGCTCCTAACACAGAAATCTTAAGATGCCAGAGTCTGAATGGGAAACTGAGATCTGGAATTTGTCCTGTTTTCTATGTCTCCTACAAGTTCATGGCTGCTCAGACCAGGAGAGAGGACCAAGCAGCCTGAAGCCCAGAGTCATAGTTTCCCTGAGAGGTGCAGGGTGGGGGCTTGACTGCTCCCATTCAGGGGAGCAACTGCAGAGGGCTAAGGCCGGGAGTGGACCTGGGGCCAGGCCCACAGTAACCTCTGGAGGGAGGGAGCCCAGGCAGCATCAGTTGCGTGGCCACAGAGGATTTGTACAGACTTGTAAAAGCTTAAAGGAGTTCTGGAGTGGGAGACTTGCAAATTGAGACCCGGCGTGCGCTTCTGTGGTGGAGGGCGACCTCTGCTGGCCACTGAACACTTCCCTGTTAACTGCTCCAGGCGTGGAAACAGTGGTGCTGGGAGGGTCTGGGAAGGAAGTAGATGGGCTCAGTCAATCTGAGTGAGGACTGCATCAGGGACTCCGTTTTAGAAGGGTCTAAGGAGCTCTGGTAGCATAGTGGTTACGAATCGGGCTGCAAACCTTAAGGTCAGCGGTTCGAAACTACCAGCCGCTCCGCGGGAGGAAGATGAGGCTTTCTACTCCCGCAAAGATTTACACCCTGGGAAACCCTGTACAGGGTTGCTGTGGGTCAGAACCGACTCGATGGCACTTAACAACAACATGATAGGCTAGAAAGCTAAACAGCTTTGAATCTCAGCTCAGCAGCGTCCTCCCTGGGCAAGTCAGTTCACCGCAGCTCTTTGACGATTAAATTAGCAAAGTGCCCAACCTGCTGCTGGAACCAGAGCCAGTGCAGAACCAACAGAAGACCTAAACTGACTCTCTCAATAAACTACTTCTCTTGAGGCTCCTTACCCCGATCCCTCCTGTCTTCCTGCCTGGGACCCTTAGCCTTCCGAAGCCTTGACTTTTTCTGCTGAGCCGCCGGTCTCAGCCTTTCCTGTGGCCTTAGCAGCTTTCAGATGTCATCTTCCACATGTGTGCTTTCTTCATCAGCTGGACATTTGCTTTTTTGTAGAGGAAGGAACACACAACACAGTTGTCCCCGTGGTCTGGTGAAGCTCCTTGGTTTCTATCTGGTGAAGAACAACTCCCTGGGATCTGGATTCAGCTTGCCCATGCTTGTGCCCTTAGACAATTCAGATCTCGGGTTCCCCAAAATGAGCCAAGGTATTGATGTGGGTGGGGGAACGTCAGAGTTTCTTTGGCCAAGTCACTTTGGCATTGCACTGAAGTCAGCATTGAGACCAGAGTGAACTTGGACACATCTATCTCCTCCTGGTGCAGTTTGTTAGGGAAGTTCTCAAGTGAAGAGCAACCTGCTGCCCCAGGGGAGCTGAGTTTCCCCAGGCTGTCAGTCATTCAATAAGCATTGATCCAGGCCTTGCCCATCTGGGGAAAGTTATTCATCAAATGTAGGGACCACCTGACTGATCCCCTTCTGGGTCCTGAATGGGAAAACAGGACCCAGAAAGCCAAAGAAGCCTGCTCCAACCTCCTCCTGGTTGCCACACTGGGGTGAGGAGGATGAAGACCCTGGAGAGAGCCCAGGCTCTTTCTGGTCCAGTTTCTAGCCCTCTGGACACTTAAGGTTCATCAACAGCGCCCCCTGCTGACTGCTTGGGCCACCGCAGGCCCTTTGTCCTGGCTGGCTGTGCCCTCAGGATAGGGGTTAGTCCTACATTTCCCTTCAGGCTTCTCATCCAAGAACTGTGCAAACCCAGGCCTTTGTTTACTGGGTTTCTTTAGCTGTCCGAGGTGGGGGCTGGGCCTTCGCAGCCTGTGGGGACCTTGTGGTGCCTAAAGATGATCTCCTGTGCTTAGGTGGGGACTGGCACCTGGCTCTCTGGCAGGTGATAAGCGTAGCTCACATCCCCTCTGTGGGCCCTCCAGTGTCCCTGCTTCCCCCACCGTGCTTTGTCCCTGGCTGCCAAGAGCCCGCTTCCTGTGATGCTCACCAGGGGTCTCCTCGCCAGGAGGAGAAACAAGTCGGGGAAGCTTTGGAGGGCAGATGAGAATAGTACCTCACCATTGCCTCCCCACCTTACACCTGCAGCAGTGGCGTGGCCAGCAGTGGGGGTCCCGAGCCCTTGCCAGTCTCTATCCACAGAGTTGCTTGTAACAGAAAAACCATGATTCTGAAACACCTCTCTGAGCCTCAGTTTCCTCATCTGTAAAATGGGGGTATAAGAACAGCATCTATGTCCTGATGTGTCATCATAGGATAAGCACTGGACTACTAGCCGCAAAGTCAGTGGTTCAAACCCACCAGCAGCTCCTTGGAAACCCTGTACAGGGTCGCTATGAGTCGGAATCAATTCAACATCACTGAACAGCAACATCTATGCCCAATGCTTGGGCTAGCTCAATACATAATCACCCAGTAGGGGGCCTCGAGTGTCTGTAGGCTTGGACCCGGAGTTCCTTGAATACAAGGAAATCATTTCATTTCATCTTCATGTGCCCCATAGATCGAGCCCTGGGCCCAGCACACCATAGATGTTACAGAGTATTTCCCGGGGCGCATGGAAGCATAAAGGGATGGGCAGGTGGGGACCAGGACTGTTTGGATGGACGCAGCTCACTAGAGAGATCCCTGTTCCAGCGCGGACCTGCCTGCTGCTCCAGCCACCGCAGCTTACAGGCCCTAGAACTTGCCAAGGTCACTGGGCCAGCATACATAGGGTGGGGCTGGGAGGTGGAGGCTCAAGACTCTACCTGACCCCAATGACTGACATCTCCCCTCTTGTTTCTTCACAGGCTGGACACCGTTCATGGCTCTCGGGTAGAAGCCAGTGAAACGGTCAGAATGAATTCTATGGACAGGCACATTCAGCAGACCAATGACAGACTGCAGTGCATTAAGCAGGTGGGTGGGGACTGCGAACCGGCAGAAACACGTTCTCTCCTGCCTTCCTGGCCCAGCTAACCAACGAGGGGCTGGGTGTGGAGGTAGGAAGAGACGGGGGGCTGTGGGCCTTGGCTGTGGCAGGGCAGTAGGGGGAAGAGATGGTGGGCATGAGCTGGCTGGCGCTGCCTTGGACCAGCCTAACATGGAGCCGTACACACCTGGATTTGAAGCTGCCTGCATCCTTTTGCTTCCCCTGTTATCCCAGCTGTGTGACTTTGGGCCAGTGTCAAGCCCTCTCTGGGCTCTGCTTATGGGCTCCAGGCTGTAATGAGAATGCAGTGAAGTACCTTCCTAGACATGCGCTCTCACCTGTCTGCCAGCTGTTCTTTAAAGAAGATACAGAGATGGGAAGGGGAAGCTGACGTCACACAGCCCAGCACCCAGGCTAGGAGGGCCTGGTCTGTGAGATCAGGGTGATGCGTGCGTGTTTCCTTTAGACTGCAAGTCCGGGAGACAATTCGCCCTCCACTACCCTGCCCTGGTTAGTGAGAGGTGCAGAGAAGTGTCCCAGTGGGCTCAGCAGCGCCCACCTGAAGAAGATGGGCTAAGGCCCTGGGCTCAGCTTCCAGCAGCTCAACACAGGCCATGTTTCCGTTTGCTGTTAGCTGCCCCTGGCTCATGGTGACCTCATGCACAATGGAGCAAAACACTGCCTAGTCCCATGTCATCCTCATGATGGATGAGGGCTTCATGCCTGATATTTGGAAATAGAGAGCCAGATCTTTCTTCTCAGTTCACCTTCATCTGGAGGCTCCACTGACCTGGGTGGTGGCTATTCCTGAGATTTTCAGTACACACAAGGTACTGGAGGTGGCACGGGTTTGGGAATCAAATGGCTGGAGCCACATCCTCCTCCTTCATGTACCCACAGTGGGATCTCAGGGTATTTACTTCATGTCTCTAAACCTCAGTGTCAAACGGGACAATCAGGCCTACCTTGTACGATGCTGGGAGGAGATTGTAAGTGAAGTACCCAGTCTCAGCATGCAGCAGGTGATTGGCCAAGGGCAGTGGGGCTTAGGTGGACTTAGCAGGTGGCTCTGGGAGCCAGGAGAGGACACTTGCGTGACTCCCTGGTTGGGCAGGACTCAGGTTGGCCTTGGAGTCCATCCCCACCCAGCTTCTCCTCCCCTCACCTCAGACGGACCCTCAGTGAGGTCCCACCAGGTGGGACAGGGGCTGTTCTTCGAGAATGAAGGATGTACATCCTCTCATGAGCATCAAGAAGCAATGTGTGTGAGCCTGCGCGGGGCCTGAGGAGAGGAAATTGAAGAAGACTTGTTAGAGATTGAATCCAGCCCCAACAGTTCTCCCAAACACCAGTGCTGTCTCTGCTCATGATCACGGAATAGAAAGCAGAATGATGCGCCTTCCCTCCTCCATGGGGTGGGGTGGGGGGTAGTTTTGAGCTCTTCGCCTCCTCCCAGCTCTGCCTCTGACCCAGTTTCTTCTGCCTGTTTCTGTGGGATCAGCAGCAGTGACCCTGTCTCCAGCAATACTTTCCTGCTGCCCAGTGTACCAGGCATGGCGTTCCTAATAACACCCTCTCACAATTTATCTCTCCTCCCTGCATTGGTGGACCATTTACTCCTGACCAGGCAACCTTTGGTCCTCCTCTGGATCCTGCCCAGTACCAGTCCTCTTATAGCCTGGCTCACACCTGAGCACCACAGTGCACCCATCAGCCAGTGAGGGCTGGAAATCCTCAGCTGGCCTTCCCCAGTCTTCCCCTGCCTCTGTCTCCCTCCACACACACTATGTCAGGCAAGTGAGATGGGGTGGTCCCAGGCTCTGCCTCTCTGCCTTTGGTCCAGATTGGGATGCATTTGTAAGTGGACGCAGACTGCCTTCATTCTCCAGTGCCCCCAGGGTCAGCCTTGTCCCTCCTCCCACCCCTCCAGTCAGACACAACTCAGAGCTGACGTGTTTGTTCCACGCGGCCTCAGAGGGCGACCGCGGCAGGCTGAGGCTGGTCTGTAGCTCAGCTGCCTGCCCCCCATTCTCTGCCTCACAGTGCTGGACCCTGCGAGGGTCTGCAGCAAACTTGACTCCAAGGTCAAGCTGTGCATATCAGCTAATTCCCTGCCCAACAGCTTCCTAAACCCAGGGGCCTTTCTGAGCATCTGTTCCTGCCCCATCTCTGAACCTGGGCATTTCCTGGGTGCCCACAGGTTCCTTCTCTTCCTCCCTTGAGTTCTAGGCTCTTCAGTGCATGTAGCAGCTCTTCCACCGGGCTGAGAGTCCCTGGAGCTGAGGAGATGGCATATTCTTCGCTGGGGCAACAGAGTCTAGCAGAGTGTCCACTGCCCAGGAGTGGGGCTCCTGTCTGTTGTGGGAGGACAGGGCACTGATGGGTTGATGGATAATGCCATGAATGGATGGGCAGATGGATGGTAATTAAGTGGCAGGATTGGGGGGGGTATAAGTGATGGATGGAGAAAGGCATGAATTAGATGGGTGGGTGACTGGATAAATTAATGTAGAGATGGATGGGTAGATAGGTAGATGGATGAATAAGTGGCTGAGTGAGGATACAGCAGCGAATGGATGAGTGGGTAGGTGAGCAGGTGGAGGGATGGATAAATTGGTCTTGTGTTGGATGGGCAGATGGATGAGTGGACAGACAGATGCATGGATGGACAGATACATAGATCACTGGATTCACAGATGGAGAGATAAGTAAATGAGTTCACCATTTTCAAGGTTGCCAATCCCTGGTCTGGGCATCACAGTGCCCCTGCTTCTGCCCTAGCAAACTCAGCTGCCGCTGGGTGCAGCCCCAGTCTTCTGAGCAGTCATGGAGCTGGGCAGGCCTTCTAGTAAAGGACAACATATATATATATATATATATATAGCAGGTGCCACCAGGGAGGGCTCTTTGTGCTTCAAATCTGCGCCCCCATCAGCAGACCAGCAAAGGATTGCAGAATTCACCCCCCACCCCATGGGTTGCCAGCGACCACTCTGAAGTGACAGTGACAGAGCCATCCTTTGGACAGTTGGCGACTCACTAGTCATTCCCTATGTCGGCAGAGGGCAACGTGGAGAAACACGGAACCCTGAAGCTGCCATGGCAAAAGTGACATCATCAGTCTTTCATCAGGCACCTCCTTTGTAATGGGGCCGTCGTGGCACCATGCGCATTAAGCATTGGACTGCTAACTTCAAAGTTGGTGGTTTCAAACTCGACAGCTGCTCTACAGGAGAAACACGAGGCTATCTGCTTCCCTGAAGATTTAGTCTCAGAAACAGGGTCCGTGTGAGTTGGAATCAAATCCACGGTAGTGAGTTTGGTATTTGGGGGTTTTGTAACGGGAACCTTACGTATGTTATCTCTAAACTTTGCAATAAGCCTGCACGCTGTTCCCACCCTCATTTCACAGATGAGGAAACTGACACTTACATGCCACGGGCTGATGGCTCACTGTCTGAGACGGGATTTGAACCAGGTCTGTCCCGCACATTTCCCTGGACCACTTGACTTTCTGTGCCCATGGAAGCTAACACACAGAGAGGGCAAGGGTCTTGGTCAAAGCCACAGAACAGCTGAGCAGCAAAGCCAATGAAGAGGGTGCCTGATTTCCTCGCCACTAATGAGTTGTTTTTGTTGTTGTCATGTGCCGTGGAGTTGGTTCCGACTCATAGCGACCTTGTACAGGGTTTCCAAGGCTGTAAATCTTTATGGGAGCAGAAAGCCTCATCTTTCTCCCACGGAACAGCTGGTAGTTTCAAACTGCTGACCTTGCGGTTCACAGCCCGATTCGTAACCACTACGCTACCAAAGAGATGCACCCATAAATGACCACCCAGAGCCCAAGCTCACATGGCTGGCTGGGGGTGAGGCTGGAGGAGCTCAGAGGTGGGCAAGACACCCTGGAGATTAAAGAGTTATGGAAGACTGGGTGTTTGAGGACCCTAACAAAATTGGGCCCCAGCACCAAGATCGCAGAGCCCCAAAGAGGTGGTGCCCAGGAGTGGGAAGAGCAGTGTGCTGTGGCCGCCTAGCCCTGCTAATTGGGTGTGACATCGTATAAACAAACGGAACAACTCGGTTAGCAGAGGCAGGCTGCTGGGCACGGAATTAGCTGGTTTGCACAGCTTTCCACCTGGAGCCCAGATGCCTCAGAGGGCGCATGTTTCAGAGAGAGGGTCCGGGTCTTTGCAGCTCTCTTGGTAGGGTGCTTTCTAGAAGTGGAAGCTCCTTCCATCTTCTGCAGATCCAGGGCTGAGGGCGGCAGCTGCAGCTGTGTTTCCCAAGGAGCCCGGGGAACCTCACGTGGGAGCACCCCACACACCGGGCACTTCGCCAGGTGCCAAATGAACTTAATCTTGTTTAATCCTCATCACAGCCCCTTGCCTGGGTGCATCGTCACAACTCGCTTGCCCTCTTTTTTCCCTCCATCATTTCCTTTCCCTTTCCTTCAGTGGAGGGGGGATATTCGAATCCTCCTTCTTTGCTTCTGCCCATTTTTAAACCTTGGCCTTTCACGGACATATTATAATAACAGTCATAGGTCCTAAATGAAAGAAACGAAAGTCCCCAGAGCAAGCCAGGGTCCATCACCCCGTTATACAGATGGGACAACTGAGGCTCAGATTGAGGGGACCAGTTCAGGTCAGCAGCCAGGATGTGAAGGCAGTGTGGCCCCAGGCCCCTGCCCCATAGGGTGCCCCACACCACTCTCATAGGTACTGCAGTTTGGGGTGAGGCTACCGCCCTGGGATTGCGACTGCTCCCCTCATCTTTCCCAGCCACCGGAGATGATGCCCCTTCATCTCTGCCCGCATCCCCCCCCCCCATGCGACACCCTCTTGGCTTTCCAGATGTCTCCGGGCTATGACTGTGTCCATTTTACACAAGAGCCGTGAACTGAACAGGAGTGAGAACCCACGAGTCCTGGCTTTCTCCCGGAGCTCTTTGCCCTCCCCTGTGGACGCCTAGTGCATCTCCTGCCATTTCTCCGACTAGCCTAGGAATCAATTCCCTGCTCCCAGTCACATGGACAGAGCTTCGGGGCCAGGGACAAGCACCCTGGAATGCAGTGTTGGGTCTCCCCCAGGCAACACAATGGCCCATCCTTCGACAGAGAGAGCCCAAGAGATGTCAGTACCCCATCCTGCGTTCGAATCCTTGCCAGCTGAGTGGCAGTGGGCAGGTCACCTAGAGCCTCTCTGCTCACATGTAAAGAATGAGACATTCAGTGATGTTAGGAATGAATGAAGAAATAGTCTATAAAGTAGTGCACATGCTGAGTTTTAGTGCAGCCCCTAGAAGGGAGAGCAGGAGCAACACTCTTCCCTGGGATCATCACCCACTGGGGGAACCACTGTGTGAGCATGGATCTTACCCATCCCCCACCCTGAAGGGCTGTGCACCCTAATGAACACATGGGACTCCTTTCAGCATCCCAGCATTCCACCCCTCGCCTGCCACCAGTACACGCACTGTGGTCTCAGATCTTGAGGTTGGGGGTAGGATGAGATGAGGGAGGTACCTTTGTTGTTGTTACGTGTCATCAAGCCAGTTCCAACTCGTAACGACCCTGTGTAGGGTTTCTGAGGCTGTAAATCTTTGTTTGTGAGAGCAGAAAGCCTCCTCTTTCTCCCGTGGAGTGGCTGGTGGACTCAAACCGCCAACCTTGAGTTTCATAGTCCAGTGTTTATCCTACAAAGCCACCATGCTCCCCAAGGGTAATGCCTACGGTGCAAAATTTAAGGAGATGCTCAAAGATACAAGTGTGGTACAAGTGTGGGGTCAGCACTGAGATCTGGCGCCTTCTTAAATTCTGTATCTGAGATTCCTCACTCACCCTAGTCCTGGCCCTGCCACGGGCCCTGAGACAGATGACTTATGGACCAGCCCCCACTGCCCACCCTAGGCAATTCATGTCGGGTGAGCAGGGTCAGGTGTCCATTGCCCTTTGGGGCTTGGTAGGCTAGAGCACCACTCCCTCTTCTGAGGTCTGGTCCAGAGACCCCTCTAGGGGCTTGTGGAAGCCTGTACCCATCCCTATCAGAAACCAGGACAAGCTTCCTGAATCACCCCATCCTCCCTGCCAGCACCCCTAGTCTGCTACCCGGGTACGGTGTCGCTGCACACACACACCCTTGGCACAGCCTGGTGTCTACATGATCCTGCAGGTCCTACAGCCAGGTTCTGTGCCTCAGCTGGACCTGGGAAGGTTTCACAGGTGTTAAAAACTGAAGGAGTCATTACTACAAGAATAAGCAAGCTGTTTGCCAGGAACACATCAAGGCTAGCAATCAAGTTCCTTCAGGACAAACTCTCCTCTAAGACTGAAACTCAAAGGGAACGCACAGCCATGTAAACTTGCTGGTGACCACATTGGTCTACTGGTGAGTGGAAGAGGGGGAAAGGCAGCAATGAAGAAATGAGCTGAGTTTAACCACGGGCCATTGACTCCCATTGACCTGGAGATGAGAGAAGAGGAAGGGCTGGTTGGTCCAAAGTGTGGTGAGACTGGGGACACCTAAGCCCATGGATAAGGACATAGCCACAGAGGGCTAGAGCTGAGAGTGAATGTGAGGGGAGATGCACAAGAACACCCAGACTTGTAGATAGTGCCCATATGACCTCGATGGCTTGATAATCAGAACTCAACTTAAAAAAAAATTTTTTTTGATAAAAAGAAACAAGGGTAAATTGCTACAATTTGGTGAACTTGATCTATACTTATGGAGGTAGTGCCTCTAAATACCAACAGAGAGTGAAGGAGTCTTCACATCAGGTATCAATTCTATCCCCTCTGTACACAAACAGGAGAGATAAGGACAGGCAACCTAAAATGAGGGGGTGATAAAGATGTGAAGTGACTGGCTTACAAGGTTTCAAAAGGGAGTTTAGTTTAAGAGTGTGTGGGGGAAGATAGAGTCCCCACTGAATAGTTTTCGTCTTGTCTAGATGGATCTGGTAAAAAGAGATGGGGATAAGATTCTTATGATTCAATAGTGAGTAATTGTTATCATGACTAATTGTGACTGTCACGGTTGTAAAGGTAGAAGTTACAAAAATGGGGGAGTGGTTAATCTTACAGTCCAGAAACAGAAGACCCTAGGACCATCAAGGGAGAAGAGCACAAGCAGAATGTGGGACCTTATCCAGAGAAGCAGTGACACCAGAGATGGAGGCAGAGATGGGGACATGGAGAGAGGGAGCAGCTGAGGACTATAGACTCATGGAAAGAGAGGAACTGAGAGCTGACAGTCAGGAGGCAGGTTTGCAGAATGTGCCCTTTGATGGTGTAAATTATTATTTATGCCTGAGTGTTTTTAAAAAAAGAGCTAAAATGAACAGAGAGAAATACTGTTAACTGATGGGACATGGAGGGGATTGTAATCATTGTAATGAAGCAGGTGTATGACTTGTTGAATGTAAAACTAATGATCTGCCCAGTAAACTGTCATTCAAGTCACAATAAAAACATTTAAAAAAAACTGAAGGTGTGAACACAGGAGCTACCCTGCCCCACCTCCCTCTCCTCTGTCATCCCTAAGGTCTGTGGGCCCGGTTACCAAAACATAAACAAACCCAGGCCTGCTGCCATCCAGTCAGTTCTGATTTATATCAATGCTATAGGACAGGGAAGAACTGCTCTACAGGGTTAGCTAGGCTGTATCTCCCACATCTTTCTCCCTTGGAGTGGCTGGTGGGTTCAGACCACTGGAACTTAACCAGTATGCCACAAGGCCCAGACTGTCGGTGCCAGAATTCAGCCTCTCTGGTCTCCAGCTCCTGACTGGGAGTGGTCTACACCATGCCCCTTCCACAGTGCCAGCAGCCCCGGCCAGCCAGACTGAGTCCAGATCATCTTGGTCTGCGGAGCTGTGGGTACTGACCACACACATCAGATGGGGTGTGTGGCTCCCTGCATCCCATCCTGTTGAACGTTGGGGATTGTGCCCTGAAGCCAGACCTGGGCTTTGACCTGGTGGAGAGAGGTGAAGGAATTTCGAGGGTCAGCCTGTCCTGGGTCAAGGAGAAACAGTCCTGACGAATGGAGGCTGGTTGCCACCCTGAGTTCCCTGCAGACTTCTCCTCTCTGCACTAAAACATTGTATCTAATGTTTAGACCTTGGTTTTCCTGGCTTTGCAATGGTGTTACTAATTCCCGTCCTGTTCATCGATAGGATGGGGCTAAGGGAGATGTTGAGGAAAGTTAGATGAGAAGGGGTGGATTGAAGAAAGTACCTTTCTGGGAGTCTCCTCCCTGGAGAGGCTTGGGGTCTTCTTGCCCCAGGCCCCACATCCTGGTCTTGCTGGTCTCATTCCTGGAGCCTCATGCTGCCTCCTTTTCTTTCCCGCAGCACTTACAGAATCCTTCCAACTTCCACAATGCTGCCACGGAGCTGCTGGACTGGTGTGGGGACCCGAGAGCCTTCCAGCGGCCCTTTGAGCAGAGCCTGATGGGCTGTCTAACTGTGAGTTCCCACCTCCCCTAACTCTTGTTGCACCACGAAGGCAGCTGGGGCTTAACACGGAGAGGCCACCGAATAATGAGGGAACAAGCGATGGGACACGTGGGTGGGATGGAGGGGGTGACCCTTCAGGAGCCAAACCATCCCCTGCCACACACACACAATCCTCAGGGAACCTGGGTCTGATGAGAAGACACACTCCTCATGAATTCGGTGTGTCCCCCATACTTAATAAAAAAGACACAAGGCTTGCTCTGGGAGAGTTCTAAGTCTGATTGGGGATGAATGTTCCATCATAAGCACAAGAGATTCTTGAAGGGTTTTCAGCTGTCTTTTCTTCTAGTCATTCATTCATTCACTCATTTAAGTGAACATTTATTGAGCTCTGTTTGTAGCCACCTGCCCATCTATGTGTCCATTTATATTGGCACTTACTGAGACTCATCCAGCCATCTATTCATATAAACATTGAATGGTCCCTCATTTATTATGTATAATCCCCTCTGCTAAGTCCTGGGACCAAGCCTCATTCCCTCACTGGGGCTCAAGCGGGAGACAGATGTACGTACAACGTGAAGACAACAGAGAGACAGGGATAGGGATAATTAACTGCCTGGGAAGTGGTTTGGTCACAGAAAACTGAGAAAAGACGCCACTTATACACATGTAACTTGTATCAGCCAATCAGCTAAGGAATAGCACACGGAAGAGCGTATGCAAAGGTCTAGGTGCTCAGCAGAACCCAGAGAACTAAGGAATGCAGCTCAGTGAGAGACTAGGATTCAAGCTGGGCAGAGGCCTGACCTAGACCTTGTGGCAGGATTTGATGAGCTAACGCAACTTGTGACCTTCCCCAGCCATCTGACCTGTATCCACGCATGCAAGGGCACCTCAGTGTCAGTGAGGCAGTTGCTCATAGGGATCTGAGTCAGCTTCCAAGGAAAGGTGGAGCATGTGCCCTAAGGCTTGGAGAGAAAGGCCAAGGCAATGCCAAGTGGGAATAGTGGGCACCGTGTTCCCCGTAAAACTCCCAGTGGGAGGGAGGCAGGTGGTCCAAGGGCTCTGACCTGGACTGAAAGGAAAAGTGTCCTTGGGAAGGTCACCTATGTGCCCACCACAGGGCTGGGATCACTGTCCACACATCTCATTGACTCCTCATACTCACTCTCTAGGGTTGGTCCTGCCATCTTCCCATTTTATAGATGATGATGCAAACTGAGACTTCGTGTAACTGACATCCACTGTTACATGGCCAGTTGGAAGTGGCACTGGGCATCTAGAGGAGACGCTCTTGGCCATTAGGGGTATCCAAAGCAGCTCCTGGGCCAGGCAGATGCAGCCAAGACCCTCAAAAATCTCCTCTACCCATGTACACTATCACATAATTCACAATAAAACACTTAAGAAAAAAAAAAAATCTCCTCTACTTGTCAGAAGCTACTATCATCTGGCTCCCTCATCCTTCGGGGATCCCCTTCCAACTCCCTAAGTCTTTGTGTGGATCCTGGTACAGGCTAAGCCCAGTGGACAGGGACAGATGCTGCCAAAGCCTCTTACCCCACATTGGTCGCTGGCAGTCACAGGGGAAAGATGAGGGGGGCGTCACGAGTGCTTGACCAGACAGACTGCCGGGACCCCAGCTCACTGCCCTGGGCCTGACCTCACCAGATGTACGGCAGTGCTGAATCAGATCATTGTCAGCATGGATGGAGAGGTGAATATGCAATGACCAAGAACTGGCCCTTCCCCACCTAGTCATTCATCCATTCATTCAGCACACATTTATACTGAGTTCCTCCTGTGAGTCAGGGTCTGTGTTGGGCACTGTGGGGAACACAGTGTCAGTGAGGGACACTGGCAATAAATATATTAAGGGGTGAATAAGAACCCACATACTAGGGAAGGGTCACCTGTGGGAGGGTGAGAGGGAAGAGTGCCCTAGTCACAGGGAACTGCCCATGCAAAAGCTCTGAGATTTGGTTTGTGCAAGAGACAGAAAGAGGACTTCGGAGAGGAATACGAGATGTCATAGAAAAGGGAACTTGTGAGGATAGACTGGAGGAAGGGCTCACTCTCCCGGGCCTCTCTGAGCTGCCCTCATCCCTCTGGCCTGCCTCTTAGCCAGGAAAGGGGCCTTTGGCCCACCAGCCACAACCACAGAGACCTGAGTCGGCCTGTCCCTTAGAGCTCAGCTCAGCCAGTGGTGGGAAGAGCATGTCTCAGAAGACACCATAGTGTCCAAGGCATTTTCCTAGGCACTGTCTCCTTGGTTGGTTGTTATGTGCCATGGAGTCAGTTCCGATCTATAGCGACCCTGCATAGGGTTTCCGAGGCTGTAAATCTTTACAGGAGCAGAAAGCCTCATCTTTCTCCCACAGAACAGCTGGTAGTTTTGAACTGCTGACTGTGAGATTAGCAGCCCAATTCGTAACCACTACGCTACCAGAGCTCCTTGTTGTTGTTAAGTGCTGTCGAGTCAATTCCAACCCATAGCAACCCTATACAGGGTTTCCGAGGAGCAGCTGGTGAGCTTGAACCGCCAACCTTGCAGTTCAAATGGCTTTGCAGTCTGGCACATTAACCCACAGCGCCACCCCAGAGCTCCTTAGATCCTCACAAAAGCCCTGTGAGGTAGGCAGGAAAGGGATTGGCACCTCCATTTTCATTTTCAGACAAGACAACTGTGCAGAAGGATATGTCTTTGTCTAATTCTGCTGACCCCACTGGAGCCCAGTAAAAACCCGGAGCTTTGTTCTACCACACAGGGGTCCCCTCCCCCATCCAGGTGGCAGCCTGGGTTGTGGTAATCCAGAGTGACCCCTGAGAGCAAATTCCAAACTCCTCTGGATGCAGCTTACTTTACGGATATAAATTAAAAACCACTTAGCCTCCGGCAGCAAATGGACACATTTTTGCCATACTGGCTTCTAAGCTATTCCGGCACAATTAGAGCAAAAGGCTCTAGGTGAACTGGCCCTCAGAGCTACCGGCAGTCTCCACCCCGCCCGCAACTCTGGCTCCAGGCACAGAAGTACAGGAGATGCACTGCCCCCCAGGGGCGCCTGGCTCTAGGCCACCACTGCCTTTCAGGACTGGGCTCTGATGGCTTCTCCGCCCCCTCCCTTAGCCGCAGGGCTGAGCCAGCTCCCTGTCTGTCCCTTGGTAATCAGGGCTCTCTGAACCTTGCTCCTTCTTCCTCCTTATCAAGTATGAGGTGGAACACATTTGATAAGGTTAAAGAACAAAAAGAAGACTAAGGTGTACAAGGGCAGGGTAGACAGAGGTTAGGGAGGGAAGCAGAAACCAGTTCACACTCCCTGTGTTTCCAGTGAGGGGACTTCTGACAGCCCCAAAGCGGGCGCTGCTAAAGTTGTAGATGCACGTGTACAGTATTCATTAAAGGCCAGCTGTGTGCCTGACCCTGGCCTGTCGTCCTGGCAAGGAGAGCGTTTTAAACCCATTTCACAGATGAGGAAACTGAGGCTCAGAGACTTAAGTCACTTGGGTAAGATGAAATAGTCTGTAAGTGACAGGACCAAAGTCCACGGTCTCTTGTCTGATTCTAAAGCAGCAACAGTTGAGAACCTTGCCACCATCCCCACCCACCCACCCACCTAATGGTGGGAAATGGTGGAGAGAGGGGCTCAGATGGTGTAACTGGAAGTTGGGCCATGCTCACCCCTTTACAGACAGGAACCCAAGGTACAGAGAGGTTAAGTCTCTTTCCTTAGGATGCACAGTATGAGGTAGAATCGGAGCTGAAGCACAGGCTTGGGCCCCTCCAGTTCCCCTCACAGCCTCAGAGAATGTCCACGTTAGGAGGAATCATGGTCACTTGCTTTATGGCCAGATGGCTTCCCACCTGTCAAGATAGCACATTCACTCATGTAACTAACACACTTGTCATGTGACCTTGAGTTTCCCACCTTCTCTGGGCCTCTGTGGCTCTGTGGCATAGAGCAACTTTCAGGCCAGTCCGAGAACCTCCAAGGGGGTACATCTTTCTCGACCATCTCACCACCCACTTTCATGGGGAGTCATGGTCTCCCCACCCCACAGAAGCTTCCCAGCAGGCCTCTCTTTCAAACACCACAGGCTACTCAGTCAGAACCCACCACCTCTTGGAACTCTGGGGCCCTCAGGTTGGGCCAGAGGGAAGGGGGAACAGTTCAGTTTGCTCTGCTACACCTGTGCTGTGTGACCTTGAGCGAGGCCCTGCCCTTTCTGGGCCTCTGCTTTCTCATTGGTGAAACGAGGCTGTTGGAGCAAATGACCCCTCGGCCCACGGCACTCTGGACATTGGGGTGCTGCTGCTCTGCCGGCTGGGCGTAAGACACAGGACAGCCTCTGCCAGCCTACACACCTATGTCAGACTCCTCTTACTTAATTTAGCTAGTATTTTTCTTAACCAAAGTGATAGGATTGGCCAATGTTGGCCAAACATAGGGAGGGACCTTTGCCTTCCTGCCCTCTGGCCAGGGCCTGGGAATTCTCCTGCAGGTAGGCAGTTATGACTTTAACGCTTTGTGGTCTCAACAAGCATCCAGACGTTTGTCAAGCCAGAGTGCCTGGATCTAACCCTGGCTCTGCTACTGATAAGCATTGTTACCTTAGGCTGTTGTTCATCCTCCGTCCCCTCATCGATAAAACAGACATCATACCTACCTTGTAGAGTTGTGAGCGCTTCATCTATTTGATCATCTATTTGGCTCACAGTACCTGGGAGCCAGCATTCCCAATACACTGTTCCTGAGCCCCCAGTTGGCACCTGTGCACCAGTCTACACAAACCGGTCTCTGCAACTCACGTGTGCGTACCCCAAGCCAGGGGGCACTGTTGTTAGCCCCTTCAGCCTGGAACCTCCTTCCCTACTCTCCAAAGAGTACCTGTCTGTAGACTTGAAGTGAGTTAGGCACATTGGTTTTCCTACTTGGACTAACAGTGAGGTTGCCCCTGCCCTGGGGTGACCCAGAGATTCTGGAATGTGATGTATATTGGAGGGGGGAGAGCTTGCCTCTCTATGTATCAAAGGGGCAGATAGAACTTGTGAGAAAGAGGCCTGGGGAGGGAGAAACCATTGCCCCCCTCCACTCCCACCCCGGGTGCAGTGCGACCCTGTCTCTGGGCTTCAACTGTCCATATTGTTTAAATGAAGCGGGTTAGCCTAGATTAGGGGTGTTTCCACCTGTTTAGCCCTGTTGTTGTTAAGTGCCATCAAGTCAGTTCCAACTCATAGCGACCCTGTATAGGGTTTCCAAGGAGTGGCTGGAGACTTTGAACCGCCGACCTTGTAGTCCAGTGCATTCTCTGCGGCACCACCCCAGGATTTCTATGTAGACCTAGAGCCCTTATTATGGGCTCCAAAACCATAAAGCAGATAGCAGGAGTGAATCTGATGGAAGTGTAGCCAGGCCAACCTCATGGCAGCCTCAGGCCCTCCCAGACCCTCCATAGCTCCCGAGAGCCTCTGGAGCAGGTGGTCTCTGCAGGGCTTGCCGACTGTGAGCCTTCCTTTTCTAGAGAGAATGAGCCCTCCAAGTAAAGAGCACTCCCCTTCCAGCCAGCCATAGCCGCTCCAGCTGCTGTCTGAAATGACTCCATTTCCAAGGTCCTTCCTTCTTAATAAGGAAAACTAATTCTGCTGCTATTAACGAGCAAGATGGGAGGGCAGGAGTAGACTGGCGGCCTGGGGATACCTGGGGGTGGGGAACCAGAGCCCTTCATGGGGCCCCAAGAGCATCTCGGCCCCCACTTATGAGGTTCACAAATCAATAGTGGGACCTTCAAGCTGCAAATGCACAGCTGATGATAAACTTCCACTGATGAACAGACAGGTGTCCTATGTCGTCTGGGAGACAAACATTAGGCGGAACCACCACAGGGTGTGAGCAGCTGGGTACTTGGTGCAAAGTTGAGGCACGTTAGAGTCCACAATGGACAGACACAGTAGTCCAAGGGCAGCTAGAGCCTGCAGCCTCTGGGACATCAAGTGTTCTGAACCAGTACTGCTGCCGGTACCCCAGCTTCTGATCCAGGGAGCCCCATGTCATGCCGATACTGCTGCTGATCGAGAGCATTCTTAGCTCACAAGGCATAGCCCCACTTTGGTGGATGCAAAAGTTCAGTAGGGATGGGAGAGGGACGGTGGAGGTGGGGTTTCTTGGGCCAGGGACTTAGAAGTTGGATTGAAAAACGTCTGCATTGGTGGGGTCTGTCCAAAAGATGGTGGTACCAACCTCCCAGGCAGCTTCTAGAATGTGGCTGCATTGGAGCTCTTGGAAGTGGCAGGACCTGGACTATCAGACTAGATACCCACAGGAGCAAGGAGCAGTGTCTGGCGAGTAGGAGGTGCTTACCAGTATGTGCAAAGTGACGGAATAAGGCCTGATCTAGAAACCTGCCTGACCTAGACACCCTCACCTGCTCCGTGTATAAAATGGGCAGGGACTCACTCCTGTTCTACCTCCCTCTCTCACTGTCAGGTGGTCAGTCGGGTGGCAGCCCAGCAAGGGTTCGACCTGGACCTCGGCTACAGACTGTTGGCTGTGTGTGCCGCGAACCGAGACAAGTTCACTCCGAAGTCTGCTGGTAGGTGTCCAACTAGGGGCTTCACAGACGTCATCGGGAGGTGGGATGCGGGATGTGTGCTGGATGGGGACACCCCCCACCCCCATCCCGGCACATCCACCAGGCTCTGGAGCCCACGGTTGGGATAGGAGTCTCAGTGCATACAGTCTTCTTCCTGTGCCGGCTCCCTGCCCTGTGTGTGGTGGGGAGGGGTGGTAGAGAGCACCCCAGGGTCAGCCATGAACCCGCAGCATACTGAGCCTCAACAACAGGAACTGTGTTGGTCACAGGACCATGCGCCGTCTCATTTAATCACCCCCAGTGACCCCTTGGCATAGGAAATGTGATCATCCCCATTTTACAGATGAGAAAACTGAGGCTCAGAGAAGCTAAGAGATTCCCCAAGGTCACACAGCTGTAAATTGGCAGAGCTATGATTTAAGCCTTGAAATGTATTCCAGAATCATCATTCTTAACCCTAACATATTACATTTTATTCATTAATTCAAAAAAATACTGATTTAAAATAAAAACAGAAATAAAAATAAAAATGAATTAATATATCCAGGACTCATAAAAGACTGCTATGCATAATATTCTCCATTGGAATTTTGTCATCTTCAGGGCCTCCTGATCTGTACCAATCAGGGACCATAGAAAGGTAGTGGGTAGCATTCTGTCTGTATGTTCTACACGCACCTCCATCCTGACAATCTGCTTAGTCATGGGGTACAGTGCGTACTTGAAGCCAAATAATCCTGTCGCATGCTGGATGTGGGGACTCTGAGCCTCAGTTGATCTCCTGATCAACTGTCATGACGCCTACTTGTCATGCATGATGATACACCCTAGAAATCTGTGAAGTGCCCAGCATAATGCCTGGATGAGGTGAACATTCTCTACCCAGTCAAAACAAGTAGTTGAAAAAGACAAAAAAAAGACAACTGCTTCCTTTCTATAGCAATAAAACAGGCACTTTCACTGAATTCATCAATAAGTTCTTGGCAGTGAATACAGAAACAGCCCCCAAAACCCCCCAAAATTCATTGCCTTGGAGGCCCTTCCTACTCATGACCCCGTGTGTTGCAGAGTGTAACTAAGCCCCGTGGGGTTTTCTTGACGGTGATTTTTATGGGTTTGACCCACACAGCTTTTCAGTTAGTAGCTGAGCACAAGCAATTTGTATACACTCATAGAAACAGCCTTAATGAAAATGCGTGAAGGACATGCCTAAAGATGTCATGCATCTTTGAACCCCTCCTTTCTTGTAAGCAGGCGTATGCTCTCTTACCTGTAGGTCTACCGTACTGCATTTGAACTGTGACTAATTACAGAGGGTGTGGTGACAGTCTCATGCGCCAAGAGCTCCTCAGAGACCTTTAACAGGAACGGGACATTGTTATTGTATTGAACTATCTGCCAAGATATATGTTCTTGTAGTCACACAAGCAACATGTATTCCTGCTGGTGAAATAAATACAATTCTGATCATGTAAAAATCCTTACTTGTTAAGGAGACACGGACATATATAGAATATATGTTGTTGAGTACCTGCTTGGTGCTGGCTCTGGGCCGGGGCTGGGCTCGTGATGGGATACAAAACTTACCTGAACGGAGCTCAGCAAGCTATTTCTTTTCTTTCTTTCGGTTTTAGTTATTTATGTTAAGTGCCATCGAGTCGACTACAACTCATAGCCACCCTGCATAGGGTTTCCAAGAAGTGGCTGGTGTGTTTGAACCGCCGACCTTGCATGTGGTCCAGTGCTTATCCTACAGCGCACACTTGATTTATTTATTTATTTTTAGCATTTTATTGTAAATTGAGTAAAGATTTACAAACAAGATCATCAATCAGTTTTACTTTCAACAAACCATACACTTTGTTTCATTTCAATGATTGCAATCCCCTCCCTGCGTTTCCTGTTTCCATCCCACCCACCTTCCATCCCTTCTCAACTCTGTCCTTAGGTAAATGCCACCCTTTAGATTTTGAGTGATTGATCATTCCATGGTGCTCAAGCCTTAGTAGTATTATTGTCCCCACTCCACCCTCCCATCTACCTATCTACTCTTTGGCTGAGAATTGGTCCTAGTGGGTAGTCTAGGACCACAGTCTCGGCTTCTTCCAGTCTCTGACCAGTCAGCCCAGTCTTTCTTTTTCTGTAATAATTTTGAGTTTCATTGCACATTTTCTCCCACTCTACCCGAGACCTTCTAATATGATCCCTTCATGGCAGATGATACCCAGTGGCAGGCAGGTCTCAGTATCATGGACACTGATGTTCACATGTCCTATTTGTCCACTGGACTAATTGATTCCAAGCATCTTCGGTCCTCATCTCTCTTCTTTCTTCCACACACGGAGAGACCAATAGTTGTACCGTAGAGGGCTGCTCATGAGCTTTGAAGATCCCAGACGCTACTCACCAAAATAGGATGGAGAACATTGTCTTTGAGGACTGTGTTACACCAACTGATCATGGTGTCCACTGAGACTGTGGTCCTGAGACCCCAGACCCAGCAGCTCATTGCCTTAAGATGTTGGATAATATCTAAGAGGGTGTTTGTGGTTGTTTTGTTTCGTTTTTATCATTTTGTCCCCTGTATGCTCTACCACGAGGAGTTCTGGTAGCGTAGTGGTTACGAATCGGGCTGTGAACCGCAAGGTCAGCAGCTGTTCCATGGAAGGAAGATGAGGCTTTCTGTTCCCATAAAGATTTACAGCCTCAGAAACCCTGTACAGGGTCGCTATGAGTTGGAACCGACTCCACGGCACACAACAACATGCTCTACCACATTTATAGATGTGTTTGCACAAAGATTAAATAGCCATATACAAATATCCCTTTCAAACTCTTACATATTTTGGGGTATACTTCCATTCTCCCTCCCATATCCATTCAACATACATATTTGCCCATGTGTCTAGCTACACAACACAGTTGTTCCAAAGTTGCATATATAACACTATTTACCTCTGTCCCCCTTAGCCCTTGCATACCTCCCTGAGTCTTCACCTGTCTTCATCATTTTTCTATCAACCTCTCTCTTCTTTTATATTACCCTCCCCATCACCAGAGTTAGCATGTGTAATGGATTCAACAGCACTTAACAACTAACCTCATGCCAGTGAATTACTCTCCCTTCCCTCTCACCCGTGGTAACCATCGAAGAATGTTTCTTTTAGCATGAAAACATTTTATTGAGTTTTCACAACATTGATCTCATACAATATTTGTCCTTTTGTGATTGACTAATTTCACTCAACATAATGTCCTCCAAGTTCATCCTTGTTATAAGGTGTTTTGCAGATTCATTGTTATTTTTCAACCTTGCATAGTATTCCATTGTGTGTACGTACCAAAGTTTATCCATTCTTCCATTGATGGACATTTAGACTGTCTCCATCTTTTTGCTATTGTGAACCTCGGTGTACATGTATCTACTCATTTCCTGGCTCATATTTCTTGTGGATATATGCTAAGTAGAGGGATTGCTGGGTCATAAGGTATTTCTATTTTTAGCTTTCTGAGGAAGCGCCATACCATTTTCCACAATGGTTGAACCGTTTTACATCCCATTAGCAATGTCGACGGGGCCCAGTCTCGCTACATCTTCACCATCATTTGTCGTTTCCTGGTGGTGTTGTTTGTTTTAACTTTGCTATTAATTAATTGCTGCGAACCATAAGGTCAGCGGTTCGAAACTACCAGCCGCTCCGCGGGAGAAAGATGAGGCTTTCTACTCCCGTAAGGATTTACACTCTCGGAAACCCTGTACAGGGTCGCTATGGGTCGGAACCGACTCAAAGGCACTTAACAACAACAACATTAATTAATGAGGTGAGGTATCTGATTATCATTTTGATTTGCATCTCTCTCATGGCTAATGAGAGTCCTGGTATGGCGCTGTGGGTTAATGCACTAGACTGCAAAGTTGGTTCGAACCACAAGGTCAGCAGTTCAAGCTCACCAGCTGCTCCTCTGAAACCCTATACAGGGTCGCTATGGGTAGGAACCGATTCGACGGCACTTAACAAACAACTGCTGATTAACAAGAATATTTCTTCAAGTTTGTTGTCTGCCTGAATGTCCTCCCTGTTGAAATATCTGTTCATGTCCTCTGCCCATTTTTTTTTAAACTTTTTTATTGTGAATTGAGTAAAGATTTACAGAACAGATTATCAATTTTAGATTCAACAAATTAGACTCTGCTTCATTACAATGATTGCAGTTTCTTCCATCTACAAAAAGGTAACAGTATTCACCTCTATTCACGTTAACTATTGCATTCCTCCCTGTGTCGCCCGATGCCTTAGTCTTTCCTCTGCTAACCTCCCTCTTATATATTTCCTGCCCCGTCACCCTGCCCATCAATAATTTTTCCTCCCCTCTCCTCCCCGACAACAACCATCATAGATTGTTTCTTATATCAAGAAAACCTTTGCTTAGCTTTTTACAACATTAGTCTCATACAGTATTTGTCGTTGCGTGACTGACTAATTTCACTCAGCATAATGTCCTCTAGGTTCATCCATGAGCCCGTCGGGTTTCGCAGATTCATTGTTATTATTCAATGGTGTGTAGTATTCCATAGTGTGTATATACCAAAGTTTGTTTAACCAGTGTTCTGTTGATAGACATTTAGACTGTCTCTATATTTTTGATCTGTCTCTTGTAGACATTCTGTTCTGGTAGTGTTCCACCGCTATTTATAAAGTTTTCAGTGACTTCCGAATATTTAGTCATTGAAAACTTGATGAGTAGCAATGGAACACTACCAGAACCTGAATATTGAATCAGGACTGGGCAGTGTTTTCATTCTGTTGTGCATGGGTCACTATGAATCGGTAACAACTCCATGGCACCTAACAACAGTGACTTGATTGCTGTCAGTTTGCTGTGTGTTTTTGTGGGTTTTTATTGTGAGGCTGCTGGTTTCTTTGTTCCATATAATTTTCTGCACTGAGTTCATTTTGTTTGTGGGTTTTCTTTAAATTTTTCATTTTTGCTGTGTTAAT